TGGCACCAACTTGGCCTTTAACAACAATAATGTGTTAGTGCTTCTGTTCTACCTCCTTGTTTATTGCATAGTGCCTGCAGTCTTAAAGACTTCCAAGAACAAAATTGGCCTTTAATTTAACTGGAGCAACAGACAAAGGAAAGTCAGAAATAGAAATAGAGTATGGAATGTGTGGACAATTGTCTCCATGAATAAACTATCCCCTTTACTATGAGCCCAGAAAAGCTGCATGGTACCCAGATACCATTACTAAACTTTTTTTTTTAACTTTTAATTGTGAATTAAATGAATGTTTTGGAGTCCTGGTGTGGTGCTGTGGGTTAATGCATTAGACTGCAAAATTGGTTTGAACTTCAAGGTTGGTGGTTCAAGCTCACCAGTCACTCCTTGGCAACCCTCTACAGGGTCACTATGGGTCAGAACTGACTTAACAGAACTTAACAACAACAACAAGTGAAGGTTTACAGAACAGATGACCAGTTTTGCATTTGACTAATCATATACTTTACTTCATTACAATGACTAAGATCCCCTTCATGTGCTAATAGTTAACAGTATTTACCTGCATTCACTTTAACTACTGCATTCCTCCCTGCGTCTCCTGCTACCTTCATCTTTCCTGTGCTAACCTTCCTCTTGTTGTATATTGCCTGCCCTGTCACCCATGTTGACATGTGTCTATGCTCTAGCCCGTGAATAATTTTCTTCCATCCCCTAACCCCATAACCATCATAGGTTGTTTCTTATATTAAGAAAACTTTATCTTAATTTACAACATTGATTCATAAAATATATTTTAGTGTCCACACACACACCACCACCACCACCAACAACAAATGAATGATAATTAAGTACTATCAAAAGATTGATAGAAAGATCATAGAAAGCAAGCAGAACACAATAAAAATTCAGAAGAATTCAGGAAAACACTACAAGAACAAAAAGACAAAATAAATGCAAATTTTGAAATGATACAAAACTCACAATTAGAAAGATTAATATTAAGATCTCAGAAATAGACAATACATTGAAAGGGCAAAGGAGCAGATGTGAAGCAATTGAAGTCCAAATTAGTGAGTTTAAAGATAAATCTCTCAATACTAATATGCTAGAAGAACAATCAGAAAAAAGAATGAGAAAATCCAAAGAAAGCCTACGAGTTGTGGGACACCATGAAGAGGAACAACTCATGGGTGATAGGAATTCCATAATGAAAGAGACAACAAGCACAGAGAAAATTATCAAAGAGTTGTTGGGAGAAAACTTCCCTAACTTCATTAATGATGAGAAGGTAAGCATACAAGAAGCTGAACAAACCCTAAAAAAAATAGATCCTCAAAGAAAATCACCAAGATATATCATAACAAAGACAAGGGAACAATCCTGAAAGCAGCTCAGGACAAATGAAAAGTTACCTATGAGGAGAACAAAGAAGGCTTTCTCAGTAGAAACCATGCAGGCAAGAAGGCAATGGGATGACATATACAAAACTCTGAAAGAAAAAGGTTGCCAGCCATGAATCATATATACCCAGCAAAGCTGTCCCTCAAATACAAAGGTGAAATTAGAACATTTCCTGATAAACAGAAATTAAAGGAATTTGTAATGACCAGACTAACTTTACAAAAAATTGCTGACGGGTGTTCTTTGGACTAAGAACCAACCACAGCAGACAACAACCTGAGATTACCATACATGACAACACCACCTAGAAATCAATCCAGGTTTAGAAACATTTAAAGTAAAACAAACCTACAATACTGAAATTAGGGAACCAGCGATATTAATGAAGTCAACTACAAAGCAAAAAGAGGAAATAGTGTAGATAGAGAATTTCCAAATAACAAGAAAGTCAAGTAGATGTCAAGATAAAACAGATTGTTTTAAGCAGGGGAAAAAAATAATAAACTACAGGGTAACCTCAAAGAAACATAGTACACCTGCATATCAAAATTTTAAAAAGAGGAAAATCAGAAAGATTTAGTAAATATTAATACAACAGAATGAAAATGAAAAGAAAACCCACAAACAAAATGATCTCAGCTTAGAGAATTATGTGGAACAACAAATAAAACAGCAGCATCACAAAAAAAACCACACAGAAAAATGGCTGCAATCAATTCATACCTATTAATAATTACACTGATTAAATGTACCAGTCAAGAGAAACAAAGAGCAGAATGGAAAAGAAAACAGGATCCTTCAATATGCTATCTACAAGAGATACTATATTTGAAAGATGGAGACAGCCTAAATGCCCATGAACAGAAGAATGGTTAAACTTTGGTACATAAATACAATGGCATACTACAAAATGTTGAAAATAATGATGAATATGTGAAACACCTTACAACATGGTTGAACCTGGAGGCCACCATTCTTGTTGTTAAGTGCCATCATGGCAGTTTTGACCCATAGCACCCCTGTATATGATTTCTGAGGAGCAGCTGGTGAGCTTGAACCGCCAACCTTGTGGTTCAAACCAACTTTGCAGTCCAGCACATTAACCTGCAGTGCCACACCAGGACACCACACCAAGAGGACATTAAGCTGGGTGAAATTACTCAATCACAAAAGGACAAACATTGTATGAGACCTATGTTGTAAAAATGTTTTCTTGATAACTGAAACAATCAATATGGTTACACGGCAGGCAAGGGAAAATTATTTGTGGGCTAGAGGGCAGACACATGTTAGCCTGGGTGACAGGGCAGGCAATATACAACAAGAGGGAGGTTAGCAGAGGAAAGATGATGGTAACGGGAGATATTATTAAGAATGCAACAGCTAAAGTGAATTGAAGTAAATATTCTTTATTGTTGGTACATGGAAGGGATTGAAACCATGTAATGAAGCAAAGTATATGATTTGTTGAATATAAAACTAATGATCTGAAACTGATGCTCTCCCATGTAAATTATCATTCAATTCACAATAAAAACTTAAAACACAAAACTGATGATCTGCTCTTTAAACCTTCACTCAATTCACAATAAAAATGTTTTTTAAATAGTGGAGATATTAAATTAATGGATATTTGGAAAGTAGTCTGTATCTAGTATAATACCTAATTTCCTTAAAAAAAAAAAAGCTGGATGAGAGTGAGACATTTAAAAACTGATTTGTACAATGGAATTTAAAATCTTGAGAGTGTTTACTCACAAAGTAAACGTGCAAGTAGCAAAGAACAAGAGATAAGAGACAGACATAGAAGTGGGTAAGTGTCCAATCCACTTCACATAATAAGCTCTCAGCTGCTCCCTTCCCCTTCACCCTGGAAACCAGAGACCTTCTCTTCCTAAATGGGGCCCAAAGAAGAGAGAAACATGCTGGTATCTCTCTGTTATCTTTCTTTAAAGAGCTGAAGGGGTTGGGAGAGTAGGGTTGAAATGTAAGGAGTAAGGGATATATAAATGGGTATGGATGGATTAAAATGACATCTATTCATACAAATGCTCTAACAAATTAATCAGCATGCCACTAAAATATGATTGCTTCCACTCACTCTTCTATCTTGTTTTTTGTGCGTCAACTTGCCTGTTATCTTCAGCAACATGATCCCAAAGGCTGCAGCTAGTCTTTACTGTACAACAATTAGCATAAACATGTACCATACTTTGCTTATTATTGGATGGTCCCTTATCTCCGCAGTGGAAGCTCCAAGAGAATAGGGGCCTAGCTTTGGAGACAGATTGATGGATTCAAATCCTGACTCCTCTATTTAGTAGCACAGCATCACACACAATTTCTTTCAGCCTCTTTTCTCGCCTGTAAAATGAGGGTCCACCTCAAACAAACAAAACAAAAATACACTGCCATCTGGATTTTGAGTCGATTCTGACTCATAGTGACTCTGTGTTGTTGTTATGTGCCATTGAGTTGTTCCGACTCATAGCAACCATATATAGGGTTTCTGAGGAGCGGCTGGTGAGTTTGAACTACTGACCTTGTGGTTCAAACCGATCTTGCAGACCAGTGCTTATTCTACAGTGCTACACCAGGACTCCATAGTAACCTTATAAGACAGAATACACTGCCCCATCAGGTTTTTAAGGCTGTAATTACAGAAGCAGACTATCACATCTTTCTTTTGTAGAGGAGTTGGTGGGTTCAAACTGCTGCCCTTTTAATTAGCAGCCAAATGCTTAACAATTGCACCACTCTTCTCTGGCATTATAATGATATGTTAATGCTTATAAAATGCTCATAACAGTGTCTAAAATATAGTACATTTTCATCATATTGTATCTCATTTCCCATTTATCTTCTATTTCATTGGCTGGTTTATGGGAATAACACAATAAACATGTTTTGAATGAATGTGATTAATCAGTTAATGCATTAGTTAGCATTTATAAGTTCTTGATACAAAAAGAGGGAAAAAGGAGACAATCAAATACTTAACCTGTGTATAACAGTGTAAGCATATTGTTAGGGTTGGGATGGGGTTGTATAGATTGACTGACAAACTGAGAAACAGAAAAAGGAATGGAAAGACACCAGTGAACTGCCTACTTCAGTATTGCTGAGTGCAGACTGCTAAACATAATAAGGTAAAGTGACTGTAAAGCTTAAGAGAACCTAAGAGGTATGGAATTTTCTGGCACCGGCTGGTTGTTTTCAACTCAGACATAAACTGGATTTAATAATGTTGTTGTTAAGTGCTGTTGAGTCAGTTCCGACCCATAGCAACCCTGGATGGGTTTTCCAAGAAGCGACTGGTGAGCTTGAACTACTGACCTTACAGTACAAACCGACTTTGCAGTCCAGCACATGAAGCCACAGTGTCATGCCAGGACTTTAACAGTAAATGCTGGGATATATAAAAGTGTTTTCTGCTATAAACAGTTCCCAAAGTTGTGTTGTTGAGCACTTTCAAGAATGTGTCCAGGCAAAAAAGTATTTTTTCGAGTATCAAAAAGAAAGTCAGAAAAAGTCATAGATTATTTAATACTAAAGGAGATCCACCTTACTAATGAAATGTCCCTGAAAGTACTCACCATTGCCAAGTTCCCAAGAAATGTTGTAACTCTTGGAAGAACAGTAGTCTAGCAGCAACTGTGCATTAGAATTGTTCCAGTGCAAATCTGCTGTTCTTAATAACGCATTTAGGCCAAAGATAAGGTCTAATCCTGAGCAATTTGCAAAAGTGTACAGCATATCCACTGAGCTTTCTGAAAGAAAAATGTTGCAATTTAATAAAACTCATTGAAAACAATGTAAAGAAAGTCACCAGCTCTGCTCCTCATAATAATGACTATTTCTGTGGTCAGGTTAGAGGAGTCCCAAGCCTGGTGTGGCACTGTAGGATCAGCACTGGACTTCAAACCACAAACTCAGCAGTTCAAACCCACCACTTGTTCCTTGGAAACCCTATACAGGGTCCCTATGAGTCAGAACCAACTCCATGACACTTAACTACAACAACAATCCTACTAAGTGATTATAATTATATCTAAGACACAACAAACTTGGAATATCAAATTAAAAAAAAAAAATTCAACCTGACTTTATTTGCACCAGTTGGTACCACAAAAGGTACCAGAAGCTTTGGGCTTGGACTCAGGTCTTGTTCAAATGACCTTAGGTGAATCGGGGAAACCAGAGTGTGAGTTCAATACGTTGTGTTCAATATATATATTGAACATTCCATAGTCAACATATACCCCACTTTTCATAATTTAAATCTCTGCACTCACAAACTTATTTCAAAATTATTTTGGCAAATTTATTTCTAAATAAAATAATTTTTGAAAAATTGCTGTGCCTGATTCACTAATTTAAAGTGAATATAATTCTACATTAATAATTCATTAAGAGAGAACAACAAGATGGCAGTGAGGGTAGAAGCGCAGTGAGGAGCTCCGTCAGCAACAACACAGAATCCTGGACCAAGCAGGTTCAGGGGATGGTACCAGAACTCTGAAACACATATAAAAAAAATATTTAGTAGGTTGGAAGGCTTATAGCCAGGGGAATTTGTAGCAGAAGCAAGAAATCAATTGCTTTCTAATTCAAGACTCTTAGATGCTCCCAGAATTGCAATATTGGGAGAGACCAAGCAGGAGAAGGATCAGAGCAGCTACAGATGCCTGACAGAACTGTGTGATAAAGGTGTGGACATTCTTCTTCTTTTTCTTTTTCTTTTTTTATGTATCTGTTTATTAGTCTCTCATTGTCTGTGCACCTCCATTCAGGTGAGTAGAGAGGATGCCTGAGTGAGTGGACACACCACCCAAAACCCAAAGGGTTCTACTACGCAGGTGCACAGTTCTCCTCAATATTTAAAGTGACAGTTTCCACTTAAAACCAAATGCCAGTGCAAGACGGCCACAGCCAGCCCTGAACTGTTTATCACTAGGAAAAATGCCTGAATGAAGATTGTGGAGTGGGACAGGCAGACTTAAAAGGAAATAGGCCCAAAATTAAATCCTGAGTTATGTCACAATGATCAACACAATGGCATCTTGAATTTCTCGGGAAGAAGAGTAAAAAGAGAATCCCATCTCCTGATCACATCTACCAGGAGGCAATCAGAAAGCATAAAAAATACCAAAATACACACCCATCTAAGTATTAAGACCACAGATAATTCCTGAATATGCCTAAAAAACAAAGCAGATGACCATATCAGCACATGACCAGAAATGCGATAAAGTGACTGAGGCAAATGAGCTGGACGTAGAACTACACTCCATACTGCAAGATGGGCAGGTTTTGGAAATGCCTGAGAAGGAATTCAGAAAGATGATTATAAAATGTTTCAAAATACTTCACAGTGGAGTTGAGAAAAATAAGGAAGAAGTCAGGAAAGCACTACAGGAACAATCAAATAAGATAGATACAGCATTGGAAACAATTCAAAATCTACAGAAAGAGGTCAAAATGATCAGTAATAGAATATCAGAAATGGACAATACACTGAAAGAGCAAAGGGGCAGAACTGAAGATATAGAAGCCAGAACTAGTAAACTAGAAGATAAACCTCTCAACACTACTAAGATAGAAGATCAAACACAAAAAAGGATTAAAAAAATCTGAAGAAGGACTAAGATTCATGTTGCACAACATGAAGAGGAATAACTTAAGAATTATCGGCATTCTAGAATAGGAAGAATCATGCAAGTCCACAGAGGAGATAGTTGAAGAGCTTCTGGAAGAAAATTTTCCTAACATAACTGAAAAGTGAAAGGATAAGCATTCAAGAAGCTCAACGAACCCCAAGTAGGATAGACCCTAAAAAAAAAATCCACCAAGATTTATAAAAATCAAGCTCTCCAAAATAAAAAATAAGGACAGAATCCTGAAAGCAGCTAGGGAAAATAGAAGTGTAACATACAAAGGCAAGCATATCAGATTAAGCTCAGATCTCCAAACAGAAACCGTGCAGACAAGAAGGCAATGGGAAGACATATATAAAACCCCGAAAGAAAACAAACTGCCAAACAAGAATCCTCTATCCAGCAAAGCTGTCAATCAAATATGATGGTATAATCAAAACATTCCAGGATAAACAGAAGCTAAGGGATTTTTCCAAGCCAACACTGCTATGAAAAACATCTGAAAGGAAATTCTGTGGACTGAGAACCAACCAGAACAGACAACAACCAGAGAACGATGTAGGTGGCAGTATCATCCTGAACGCAATAGACAAAATGGAAGAGTCAAGAACAGAATAAAATTATAATAACAGAGGATCTGGGAGGTCAGTTTATGATCAAAACAATTGCAATGTGAAAGAAGGTAAACACAGAGGAAGAGAGATACAGGTGTTGGGAAGGTCAAGTAGATTACAGGATAAAATAGACTGTCTTAAATGGAGGGAAGAGTTAATGGAATATAAGGTAACCACAACAGTAGGGTTGGTGTGTGGGGTTTAGTTCAGGTGTGGGGGAGGGCAATACAAGAAAGGGGAGGACACAGAAGAACAAGATAGATAGGGGAACACTGAGACAGGTTTGCATGTCCTAAGTGGGACAGAGGTAAATAGTGATGCATGCTCAAACTTGGAACAACAGGGCTCTGTGATATAAGGATCTAGGTATTGCTTGAAGAGGGGAAATGATTACTAAGATGCTTGACTGTCTTATGAATATTGGTTTCCCTTGCCTACTATTGTAAAATAGACACTTGAGTGGGATAGAAAGGAATGTTGTGAAACATGATTACAGAAAACTTGTAAGCTCATCTTCAGCCTATAACTGATTGTAATACATAAAACGGGTTCTAGAACTTGCCCAGTGAAATAGGCCTCTTGCAAAGTCATTGCAGAATATAGGACTTTAGGTGGAATCCTAAGTTCCATCTAGAACTTTATAAGGTGGGACATTCCCACTAGCAAAGACAAGCAGACCAGCCTGGAACAGCTAGAGCAACAGAAGATACATCTTGAAAGAATTATCATAAGGAAAAACCCAAAACAAAAATGTCAGCATGACTGGCTACTACAAGAATTAGCAAGCTGTTCACCAGGAAGACATCAAGGCAAGCAATCATGTTCATTCAGGACAAATCCCCATCTAAGTCTGAAACTCAAAGGCAACATATGAACAAGCATGTAATCTTGCTGGTGACCACACTGGTCTACTGGTGAGTGGAAGAGGGGGAAAGGCAGCAATGAAGAAATGGGCTGAGTTCAACCACAGTCCATTGACTCCCATAGACCTGGAGATGAGAGACAGAAGAGGAAAGAGCTGGTTGGTGCAAAGTGTGGTGAGATCTGGGGACACTTGAGCCCACGGAGATCTGGGGACACATAGCCACAGAGGGCTAGAGCTGAGAGTGAAGCATCCATCTGATATGAAGTGAGGGGAGATGCACAACAACACCCAATCTTGCAGACAGTACCCACTTAACCTAGCCTTTATGCCTTGATAATCAGAACTCAACTAGAGGAAGATTACAAACAAACAAAAAAACTTTTTTGATAAAGAAAAGAAAGGTAAATTGCTTCAATTTGATGAACCTGACCTACACTCATAGAGGTAGTAACTCTTAATATCAACAGAGAGGGAAGGAGTGTTTTTACATCAAGTATCAATGCTATCCTCTCTGTACACAGGGTAGATAGGGACGGGCAACTTAGACATTGGCTACCTAAAATGAGGGGGTGATTAAGGCACGAAGTAACTGGCTTACAAGGTTTCAAGAGGGTGTTTAGTTTAAAAGTATGGGGGAAAAGAAAGAGTTCCCACTGAATAGTTTTCATCTTGTCTAGATGGGTCTGGTCAAAAGAGACGGGGATAAGATTCAGATGATTCAATAGTGAATAATTGTTATCATGACTAACTGTGACAGTCACAATAGTAAAGGTAGAAGTTTTGTAACAAAAACAGGGAAGCAGTTAATCTTACAGTCCAGATACAAAGGACCCTAGGTTCATGGAGGGAAAGGAGCACAAGCAGAATGTGGGACCTTATCTGAGATGCAGTGATGCCAGAGACGGAGACAGAGATGGGGTCATGGACAGGGGTAGTGGCTGAGGACTCTAAATTCATGGGAAGAGAGGGACTAAGAGCTGGTGGCCAGGAGGCAGAATTGCAGAATATGCCCTTTGGAGGTGTAAATTATTATATATGCCTGAGGGTTTGTTTTTTTTTTAAGCCAAAGTGAATAGAGAGAAATACTGTTAACTGATGGTACATGGAGGGGATTATAATTATTGCAATGAAACAAGGTGTATGGTTTGTTGAATGTAAAACTGATGACCAGCCTTATAAACTTTCACCCAATCCACAACAAAACCTTATTGGAAAAAAAAATTCTCTATAAGAAGTGTCCAGGAGATATGAAGTGGGGGAGGCATGCAAGAAGGCTCAACTTTGCAGATAGTACCCATTTGACCTAACTTGGATGGGTTGCTGATCAAAAGTTGACTAGAGGAAGATAAAGAAGTTCAATACAGGAAGCAAGTGTAAATTGCTACAATTTGATGAACTTAACCTTTGCTTATGGATGTGTTGCTCAAAATACCAACCAAAAGGGAAGGAGTCTTCACATCAAGGATCAAGCCTATCTCTTCAGTACACAGGATTGATCGGGACAGGCAACTTAGTCATTGGATACCTAAAATGGGGTGAGGTGGGTTGGTATAAAGGCACAAAGTAGCTAGCTTACAAGTTTTCAATAGGGGGTTTAGCTTCACAGTGTGAAGGGGAAGGTAGAATCCCCACTG